ACTACATTATAAATTGTTACTCTTTTAATTTAATTAATTTTTGAAGGGTAAAAATAAAAAGCAAGGAGAAACTCTCTGTACATTTTAGCAATAAACTAATTTTTCTGCTCGTTCACAGGTCCATCTTCCAGGACATGGTGAGCATGGACGTGCTGGTGACCAAGGTGATGAACTTCGCGCAGCGGCTGGTGGACGCGGACCGCGCCTCGCTGTTCCTGCTGGACGCGCGCTCCGGCGAGCTGTATGCGCGCATCTTCGACGTGGGCGGCGAGGAGCAGCCGCAGCCGACGCAGCAGCAGCAGCAGCAGCAGCAGCAGCAGCAGCAGCAGCAGCAACAACAACAACAGCAGCACGGCCGCCACGGGCTGGACGCGGGCTCCGGGGCGGGCTCCGAGGACTCGCTCACGTCGGCGCACCGCATGCACACCGAGGAGATCCGCTTCCCCATGGGCACGGGCATCGCCGGCCAGGTGGCGCGCACCGGCGAGGTGCTCAACATCCCGGACGCCTACTCGGACCCGCGCTTCAACCGCTCCGTGGACCAGCTCACGGGCTACCACACCCGCTCCATCCTCTGCATGCCCATCTTCATCCACGGCCAGCTCATCGGCGTCGTGCAGATGGTCAACAAGCGCTCCGGCACCTTCAACAAGGTACGCCGAAAAAATGCAATACCAGGTAGTTCGTCCGTCATTTGCCGCTACAAACAAACCTTGCAAAGTTGAGCCTCTGCGAGCTCTCATAGCGCCTGGTAGATAGGCAACATATTGCATGCGGGTGTACTGCGGGGTGGCCTACCCTCAGTCTCGGAGGCGCCGAGCTCCTGAGATTTGACGAGTGAAACTAAGGAAAAAGGACGTGCCGGGTGACTCAGTGCGGGCGGGTTTGCCCACCTAATGGGCCGTGGCGCCCTGATGGCGCCTTACGGGCAGAGCGAGTAGGCAAACCCGCCCGCTCCTGCGTCTTCTCTGAATCACCTGGTACTTTCTGGACGACTATTTGTCGTCGACCGTGAAATGTTTCTCATTCTAAATAGTCGAGGAGAGACGGGCTTATTACGCCATGATAAACAAAACAAAGAAAAATGCCTCACGCTTTGTCGCTGTCTGGTTCAGGAGGATGAGGAGGCCTTTGAGACGTTCGCCGTGTACTGCGGCCTGGCCCTGCACCACGCCAAGCTCTACGACAAGATCCGGCGCTCGGAGCAGAAGTACCGCGTGGCGCTCGACGTGCTCAGCTACCACAACACGTGCCTGGACGACGAGGTGCAGGACATGCTGGAAAAGGGCGTGCCCGACCACATGCCCCTGGTCGACCAGTGAGTGGACAGTTCCTGGCAATTCGGCCAAAATGATTTTACTGATGTCGAAAAAGAGTTGGAAGTCCTTGAAGTTTCCGGAAATTTTCTTAATTTTTTCGAAAATTTCAGAAATTTTCAGGAAATTTCCAACTTTATGTCGAATTTATAGACCACATTGGCGACACATCGACACGTTAGATCTCACAACCCGCCTATTTTCCGATTGCAGGTTCCATTTCAACGTGTTCGAGATCGACGACCTGGAGAAGGCGCGCCACGCCGTGTACATGTTCAAGGACCTGTTCGGGCTGAGCCGCTTCGACGAGGACAGTCTGATCCGCTTTGCGCTCACGGTGCGCAAGAACTACCGGAGGGTGCCGTACCACAACTGGACCCACGGCTTCTCCGTGGCCAACACCATGTACGCCATCATCAAACACTGTGGCGACGTGTTCAGAGAGGAGGAGGTGAGAGTCGCGACGCGCGCCCGGCGGGTCCTCTGGGTGGCCGCCAGGTCTAACCGCTCACCCCCTCCATCTTGCAGGCCCTGGCGCTGTACATCGGCTCGCTCTGCCACGATCTGGACCACCGCGGCAAGAACAACCAGTTCATGCTGGAGACCGAGTCGCCCCTGGCCTCGGTGTACAGCACGTCCACGATGGAGCACCACCACTTCAACCAGACGGTCGCCATCCTGCAGCAGCAGGGCCACAACATCTTCCAGAAGCTGACCAACAGCGAGTACAAGCACGTGCTGGGGCTGCTCAAGCACTGCATCCTCGCCACGGACCTGGCCGCCTTCTTCCCGAACCGCGAGCGGCTGACGCGCCTCGTCAGCAACAACGCCTTCTCGTGGGAGAACCCCGAGCACAGGTGGGTCCTTGCAGTCGCTATAAAATCACAAACCCAAGCATCATGATAACGTGCCGCATGTTAAACTTGCAGCCCTTACAATGTTCTTGTGCTGCTCTAATTCTACACCTACACGTTCGTCTACAACTTGTCTGTGAAGTGTCCCGTTTTGACGTGTGCCCGCAGGCTGTACCTCAAGGCCATCGCCATGACGGCGAGCGACCTGTCTGCCAGCGCCAAGCCCTGGGAGCTGCAGGTCATGACGGTCAAGGTCATCTTCGAGGAGTTCTACCAGCAGGGCGACGAGGAGCGGGCCGCGGGCAGGGTGCCCATCCCCATGATGGACCGCACCCAGCCGGAGGCGCAGGCCGCCTCTCAGGTCAGAGAGAAGCTTGCGGAAGCGCGGAGGAAAACGAGGGAAAAAGCGGAAAATTTTTGGGAAAAAATTGAAAATTTCCAAAACTTTGGAAGTTTTTCGTTATATTCCGGAAATTTTCGAGAATTTTTTGGAAAATTTCCGGGAAATTTTGGAAATTTTCAAGCTATGCCCTTGAAACACGTTATTTATTTATGTGCTGCAGGTGGGCTTCCTGACCGGCATCTGCCTGCCGTGCTACTCGCTGCTGAGCGCACTCATCCCCAGCACCAAGCCCCTCCTCGACGAGTGCCGGGCCAACCTGGAGCGCTGGAAGGAGCTGGACACGTCGAGGCAGCGCCCCGCCATCCTGGACGTCCCCGCCACGGCCACCGTCCCTCTCGTCCTGCCCAAGCTGTCGCCGGTACGGGCGCTTCCTCGCTTTAACGTTACTTGACGATCTCATTTGAGAAGCGGAGCTTTTAATGTCAATTTTATTTCTAATTTCTAAACAGGGGCCGGCGCTGGAAAGTATCCTCTCACAAAGTTCAGATCTAGAGTTGTCGGAAGGGAGCTCGCTTTTGCCCCGGGTGGATTCCACCTCGGACTCTTCCGAAGAACTCCCACGAGGTGGAGAATCTTTATAGCCTAGTCAATCATTTGCTGATAATGTTTGTCATATCTTTTCATTCTGTTAAGTATTCCCTTCTTGTGAGGACCATCCTAATGAACTCTGTAAAACGTTGCTCGTTGTGGTTGGGGGTTTGCGGTTGCTACACAATCTGTGATCGCAGCTCTTTGAAACTTTAATGGCATGCCTTAACAATTGCAATTGCACAAAGAAAATATAAAAAATAGAGTTTGTGTAAAATTGTGGAAAGATTGATGAATGGAATGAAGCCTTTCTGTCTACATTACTATAATTGTGTCTTCTTAGGACTGAATTAGTTATTTTCTAATCCACTATAAGTGTTTTTCAGTATTAATGCACTACTGGCAATAACTCTACCAAAAATGTCTTGTAAGAATAATGTTCTTCTTTTAGTGTGTAAACTGGTGTACTATAGTCATAAACTTTAGCATCTTTCCATCCAACATATCATATTGATAATAAGCATAAATTGATTACTAAGTCAATCGCCACATTCCAGAAAATAGCAGGCCAGTAATCACAAAATTTAATGATAATGAAAGAACAAATACTATTTAAGCAGCAAGTGTTGGCAAATCGATCTAGGGAACTAGACTGAAACTTTCCTCCTAATTAATTTCTGTGGCGTAAAATGTACCTGGACACAAAACTTAAGCTAGTGAATACATTGTACAAGAAAATATAGCAAGAGAGATAGATAGAGAGAGAGAAAATATATTTTGTGGCCGGGCCAATAAATCCAATAAATATGATTGCATTAAATCCATTGTTCAGTAAAGTTTTCTATTTTTTTAAATTAATTTTACATCCTGGTACTACATATATTACAGTTGTGGAAGCTACGAAGCAGGTATGGCGCTCACCTTTTACAATGTCACCATGGGCTCAGGTCCATGGACCACCTGCAGGAATTAAAACTCAGCTCACATCACCGAAGCAGCAAAACACTACAACAGGCACAAAGTTCCTTCGAGCCTGCTTCACTTTTCTGGTCTTTTCTTTTTAGCCCTGCGCTGCCCTAGCTAAATATATTGGTAAGTCCAGATCGCCCAATAGAGTCTATGTCTTTAAAGAATGGGTGACATTTTGATTCAAACGGCAATATCACGCCAGGTCACCTCTCCTAAACCTGTGGGGAAGGGGCCGGGGTCCCTCTGCCCTTGCCTCTGTCCAACTATCAGCTAGGCGGGGATGATGTTCTGCGGGTTGCCTACATGCATGGGTTTGGTGCAGTGAATTGCCAACATGCCATGGCTTCTTAGGGCGATCGCCCCTTCTCAAACAACGACCCTGTTTGTAGCCACGGGCAGCTTGACACGAACCCACTGTAGACCAAAGACAAAGTCCGCTTGGCACCGTCAATTCTCAAGCACTTTTCATGAAACCTTAAGCCGGCGTTTTTCGGATGAAACCAAGAACTTTCATTCGTTACAAAAAAAATTCTCCCTCGAATGACAATATCGGAAGCCAGCATCGCAGTTCGAGAGAGAGTGACATATTCGGTACCAAATTAAAGCCCTTGGTTTCTTCTTAGATGTAACGACTTCAAGTTCATCAAAAGTGGACGAGATCGGAAGTTTTGTCCAATAATCCGCGACTGCGGTGACTTCACACTCGACGCACGCACGCGAACGGCGCTAACTTTACAGACCTAAGGCGAATGACAACGCCTGCGGCGCGTCAGGTAGGCCCGCCCGCCAGGTGTCTGTGTGGATATGGTGGCCTACCCTCAGCGCCCGAGCGGCGATACCCCGTACTCTAGCGAACGCCAACCTATCTGGACTCACATACCTGCAACGAGACTACTCCGTGCAATCACGTGCAACACTGTTGTTTACAGAAAGAGTTCGTTTGACTTTTGGTTGTTTGTGACTTTGCGAAGGTAAGAAACTGCTGTTCTTATTTTCTTTTTTATCTAGTTCATATTCGTAAATTTTAGATTTGTCAATATCGTGTCATAGAGACACCTCTGTCCATGCGTAGATGCGGAAGAAAGCAAACTTAGCTACATAACCTCATTTTGAATTTACTACCATGTGCCAAACTTTTTTCGACATTTCTCTCTAAGGCAAATTTAAATAAATGAATTTTTAAAATTTCTTATATTCACTTTTACTGAGCTGTTGGTATTTCATAGATGTTGAATCTAGAGAGAATGAAAACTCGCAAAACACGAGTGTTCAAAATGAATGATACCATTAAACCTAACAAAAAAGTTCATTGCTTTAATTAAGACCAGCGTCTTTTGCTCTACAATCGTACTACTACGTATCATGTCTGGAGGTGTTATGTGTTCCTAGATGAAAGTGCAAACAGTTCATAAAGGATGACACCGCACTGAGATCAATTCTCGTTCTTCCTACCAAGAAGGTGAAGTGGGCTGGTGAAGAATGAGTAATGAAAGCCTCAAATAGCCTCAAATTAAAAATTGATTGATATTTTTCATTAAGTTGGTGCAGTGAATGTAACTAAGGCCATTGAGAGTAATTGTAGCCCCCCGCTCCTCATTCCGTCACTCTCACAGCTCTAATTTATGACTCTCTTCCTGCGGGTACAAAACGAAATAATATAATACTCAGTATTATCATGTGAAGATGTTTTTATAATAGAAACGAGTGCCAGTTTGCTCATTTTGTGTCCTTGGGGAATAACCGCTTTTAATCTCAGATATAGTCCCCAATGTTTTTTAGTTTTTCAAGTAGGATTCTAATTTTTTGTTTAAATTTAGAATAAATTTTGAAGTCTGAGAACCGATAATGTCTTTAACCTTTCTGCTGCACCAAGGATAGGGAAAGGGAATGAAAGAAACAAGGGCTTACAAAAAAGTTTTACCTTATTTATTTTCATGAAATCTTACAAATATTAATTATGATGTGTTTAGGTTCATAAATCCTCATTGACTTAACACTTTTTTCTGTTCAAAGACAGGCAGAAATATTCCAGCTCCTGCCAACTGAATGCTCTTTTTCTCTTTAGTTCTTTAATAATTGATAGAAATGTAAAGTAAATAATATGGAAACAGAGTGAAAAGTGCATGAATATCAATCTATTCCACCAGTGAACGTTTGACGTTGAGTTGACATTGTTTGTCCGAGGCAATGCTTTTGAAGCATGGCAAGTTAATGTTATGGAGCTCCCTGTAGAGGAGTTGGTGTAACCATGATATATGAAGACCAAAATTCTGTTTTTACCCTTGTTGCAGGAAGACCGTCCATGAGTTGCATTTGCGCTTGACATATCAGCTACGCAGCCGTCAGCTATCACCCAATGTATGCTATATCGGCGTCACAGCACAGCATGAGAAATGGCCCCTTTTTCTCATGATCACAGGAATTAATCTGGTAAGTTTTGACTTTTTATGTAATTTTAACAAAAAAATATCAATATATTATGGTAGAGTCATGATGGGTAAAAGTTTATTTTGGTATTTGTTTCTATTAGGGGGTTACTTCTTGCTATATCTTTGCTGTCTCTTTGCTATCTCCACATACACCGCTTATTACTTGATCCTAAAATATGTTGTCGTGTGTTGATTTTAGTGGAGGGAAGTGAGAGAGGCAAATCATCAGAGAGTCAGTTACAGTAATGCTATTATTTATTTCATTTATCTGGTACAGTCGTAGTAAAATAGGAAGTGATGCTGGTTCTTGTCCAAAGGGATGTGCCTGGACTTGAAGCTGGCCACCTGTAACATAGAAAGTTCATACGATGAGCTGGCGTCACAGTGATACAGATGGACCAGAACACGTTTGCGTTGAACTCTGAGATAATTTGAATTTACTTATATTTTTTTCATTCTTTTTCAGGTCACCAAAGTCGCCCCAAGTCACCAGCAGAAACAAGCCAGCTACTTGAGGAAGACTTAAGATTATAATGTTAGAAACAATAAAGAATTAAAATACTATCCAACATTTTACAT